ATATGAAGTAAAAAACCCTCTGTTCTAATATGAAATCATTGATTGTTCTCTGATGTGTTTGTTGTCATTATTTAGACTCATTAACTTTGAATTCCTTCCTTGTTTTAACGAGATATTGACTTGGTTTTGATGGTTGAATTTTATAGAGAATCCTGTAGTAAATCCAAGCCTTGAGTTGTTTGTAAGTTCTGTTTGTGTTCTGAATAATATAAAAGTTTATTTAATGGCAGCTTAAGGTAGATGAACAATCAAATAATTACCATGCTAATATTTCTGTTTGTTGTTGATCATGTGTTTGAGGATTCATCGAAAAAGCTCACCACAGGGAAACCTCTCTATGGAGCATGGTTCTCTTTATTCTTTTCTTTCTTTCAGAATCTAAATATTATTCAAAAAATATTAGATTGTTCAGCCACAGGGTTTACCATGACTCTTGTACCTACTATTTGTATCTTAGCAGCATGAAGTTACTCAATTGATTCTATTGCTTGTGTTCAAATACTTCTTAGCTCTCATGTGTATCTAATTTTGAACAGAGGAAAGCGGATCATGAATCAGGAAGGGCACTCAAGTAAAAATAAAAAATTAACAAAATGCATAACAGCTGGATCGCTTGCATCTTTGCGAAACCTAAAGGTTTCGTCATTGAAAACAAACAGAGTTATTAAAGATCCAAGGTCACTGCCTCTGCATTCTACTTCTACACCAACACAAACAGTACATGAGCAAGTGCAACAAATGCCACTGAACTCTACACCTTCAGCATCACAAGCAGTGCGTGAACAATTGCAGCATTCTACTTCTGCAGGTGGATCGCTGCCTCTGCATTTTACTGCTGCACCAGCACAAACAGTACATGAGCAAGTGCAACAAATTCCACTGAACTCTACCTCTCTTGCATCACAAGTAGTACATAAACAATTGCAACAACTACCACTGGATTCCACCCCTCGTACTTCACAAACGGTACAAGAACAAGTTGAGGATTCTTCCAATCATGAAACAAACGAGCAATCCGAGGAACAAGGCAAGAACATATAGATTCCAATCGTCAAATTCAATAACGTAATGACTTTTGGTTATTATTCTTACTTCATATTTATGTAGGTCCTTCTGTCGAAAAACGAAAAAGAGGAAAAACTTAGATGCAAAGTGTTCATGGTAGGAAAGAGCGCAAGCAAATTGTGCTAAATAAGAACAATCAACCCATAGGTCCTACTGATGATGATGTAAATGAGTTGGGTTGCTTCCTTGGTACATTGGCAAGGAATGCGGCATTTTGTCCTCTTAATGTGTTTGATTGGAGGAAACTTGAGACAAAAGAAGATATGTGGAAATATGTCAAGGTTTGAAATTCGCAATATTCAATAGGTGTGTGTGGATATTTCATATTGTTTACACCAACCTAACTGCTCTAAATTTGTAGGGAAAATATGACATTCATGAAGGTGCAAAAACGTGGGTTTTTCACTCAATTTCAAATGCTTGGAGAAAGTACAAAAACCAATTATATAAAGACCATTTTGAACCCTATGAGAATGACGAGCTTCGAATGGAGAATAGGCCGGTTGATGTTCCGGATTCTCAATTTAGGGAACTTCTTAGAAATTGGAACTCTGATACCTACAAGGTAAAACTGAATATTGTTCCATGATTTGCTTAAAATGTCTGATTTTTGTTTATTTAGAAACTTCTTGTTGCACTTGTGGCTGTCTTCAGCTTAATTATTATGGTTGCATTTTGTGAATGAAACTCATAATCTGGTTAAATTTTTAACTATGATTCTGTGCTAGTTAATCCACAATCTTCTACTACAAGATGTCATAACACAATCATTCTAATTTCAAGAAAAGAAGTCACCCTCCCTTGATAGTTCTAATCAGGAATACTTTCCAACAATAATGGCAGTCAGGGGTGGGCTTGACACTGGAATAGATGGGTCACGACTATACTACGCTAGGTACTTTATTTATGGATAACTTGCACAAATGTTTTATTTTCATGTCCTAATGCATTAAATTGAGTTGCTAATTCCTTCCTGAATACAACATGCAACATCTAAATAGGAAGTAAGAACTGTTCTGATTTGTAAACTAGAAGTAGGAACAGTTCAGATGTTTAAACTACTCAAGAAGCGATCGCTTCTGCCCCGTTTCTGCCCAAAATTCTGTCCAGATTCTGTGCATCATCTCATCATAGTGTTTGCACCAGAATGTGCATGATAGCGTAATTCATGGAGGCTCCATTAGCTACGTTTTCCGGATGTGTCTTCCTTCTCCGTTTGTTGTGACATGCTAGCATCATTAATATAAGCTTGCCTTACCCAAAATAATCTTCAGAAGAGAGGCTTTGTTCTGTGTAGCAGATGTATTCATTGTCAATGTTTCTTTTTTGTTGCAGAAAATGAAAGAAACCAACACTGAGAATCGCAAAAAGTTGAGATATCCACACACTGCTGGCAAAAAAAGTTTTGCTAGAATATGCGAGGTTTGATATGTTTATTCTTATTATTCTTTTAAATATGAACTTGCTAGGCATAATCTGAACTATTTTATACCACTTTTTATGTAACCAGGAAAAAAAGAAAGAAACTTCTGAACCTCTATCAAGTAAGGACATATTTGTGGCTACAAGAAAAAGAAAGCCCGATCGAGTATACAAGGCCTCGTATGCGGATACTCTTAATAAAATTGTACGAGTTACTAATTTAAAGTTTGTTGATATCATTTGTCTGTTATTAGTTATTGACTCAATTTTATATACTTTCTAATCTAAAATTGACTCAATTTGGTCTTGTAGGCTGAAATGGATAGAATACAATCAACACAAGAAACTGAAGATGGCAGTCAATCAGTTGACGCGTTTGCGTCCGTCATGGGACCTGAGCATCCAGGACGCCTAAGATTGTACGGACGTGGGGTTACCAAGACTTCCTTAAAAAGAAAAGTGGGAGATATTGGAACCTCTTCAAGTTCTACCGATGAGATGCTGCAACAAAAAATGGTGGAAATGGAAGAAAGGATGCAACAAAGAATGCAGGAAAAGTTCAATGCACAAAAAGATGCCATGGAACTACAAGTTGCAGTTAACATCATTTCACAACTTAAGCGTCTGAATCCAGACTTACGGGTTGATCCCAGCATGCTAGCTTTCAATGGTCATTCACCTGGAGATGCTTCCTCTGCCCAACAAGCTGTTGTGCAACTAATCAATCGTCTATCTACTGAGAGTAATAATCGAGGTCAGTACGTACTCTTCTTCTCCTCCTCCTCCTCCTCCTCCTCCTCCTCCTCCTTCTTCTTCTTCTTCTTCTTCTTCTTCTCCTCCTCCTTCTGTTGCTTTTCTGCCACTGTTTTCTGCCACTGCTCTCTCTGATTTAATATTATCCAATGTGGCTAAATTTGAGAGCCTTTTAGTCACGAGTTAAGCCTTGATCAGCTACTGCTATTTGTAAAAGCCTTGATCTAAGTTTGGCATATAAAGGAGATTATAAAGCTTCTTCAGTCGTAGAGATACAGAATCAGAGCTAGATGTAAAAATCGACTGACTTTCGCTTTTCATTTTCTTTTTTGACAAGGTATTGGCTTTTTATTTTCTTTCGAAAGAGATTTTCGTTTTAGAACTTCTCGTTCAAGGATGCGATACGACTGAGGAGCTACAACCTAAGTTTCTCGTTGTGTGCATAGGACTAGTCTGGTAGTTATAAAGTTAAAATGTAACAGAATTAAGGATGTACTTCCTGTATTCCAAGTTGTATGTTTGAACCAGTTGGATTATCTTCTTAATCTCCATTCTAGTCAAACTTTGTTAACACAGGACAGTCTGGTGGACTAATATAAGGAATGATCAGATAAATTGGTCTTTGTGTCTTCCATTCATGAATATTCAATGTTGTCTAAGTGGTTGAGAACAAGATTCACCTAATGTAGTTACTTCTTTTTGTTGATTTATGCTTCTTGGAAATAATTCAACTGTTCTGTTGAAAAGGTTCTGTAATTTTTAATTTGATAGCATCCCCCATGAAGATGGTCCTTTTATATTTAGTGCACTTGTGACTAGCAGCAGTAAGGAGTTTAATGCCTCAATTAGATTGAAGTGAATCTTTTACTTATAGTACTGTTTGCAAGTTTTCTGTATTTGAATGTTATTGCAACTTATGAAGTTTACAAGTTGTAGTCACGAGTATCAGTTTTGTTATGTTACTCGCTTGGCTTTTGTTCAATTTACAACTATCGGCAGGAAACTCCAATATAGAATTTCTCATGTGATCTTTTAAAGTTTCTAATTTTAGCGATGATTAGATCTTTTATTGTTTGAAGTTATTAGTTCAAGTGAAATCCCTTAGTTTCTTTGGGGTATTTGTCAAATGGGATGGAGGGTGGCCTTACAATAAACTTCTTTTACCGAAGTATCTTTTGGGTTTTTGTCAAATAGGATGGAGAGTGGTGTTATATAGGGCGGTGTTATGTGGTGTTACAATTAGAGAAAATTCTACTATGCCTATTCTTATTTAATGACTTTATTTATTCTCTTTTGTAGGTGGAGCAACTGAAGAAAGGGAAGATGGAGAAGGTGGAGCAACTCAAGAAAGGGAAGATGGAGATAGTGAAGATCTAGACCTTACTTAAGAAGAACTTTGAGTTGTTGTCGATATTCTTGGAGTCTTTTGTTATAGCATTTGAAACTTTAACTTTTAAAGTGTTGAACTGTAAAACTTATGTAATTGGGTTAAGTATTTTGATATTATCGTTATTCTTAGCTTATTGGATATGAAAGTTTATGAAGTGTTTTATCTTTTATTTATATAATTTTCAGGTTATAATTACAAATATTTCCAGGTGGTAATGTCAATTAAAGGTTTAAAATAGCCTAATAGAACCGCTGCAATAAGCACAAACGCCGTTGCCATAGACATTCTGAATCGTTCCGATAGGTCTTGCAAACCGTTCCATAAAGTGTGACAAACTGATGCAATAGAAACAAAACCGTTACGGTAGCGCAATAAAACCGTTACAATAGCTGTAAATAAGCGTTGCAATAGCATACATAACCGTTGCAATAAACTATATTGTAACAGTTTCCAACCATTGTAGTAAATAATATGGTAACAGTTTACAACCGTTGCATAAACTATACGGTAACGGTTTTTAACCGTTGCAGTTGAAATGAATATTCGTTGCTTCAGACAGAGGAAAAACCGTTGCGTAGCTGGATCTATAGCAACGGTGTTGTCAACCGTTGCCAAAACCGTTGCTGTAGATCTATTGGCACTGAGCGGTCACTGAACCGTTCCAATACATCTATGGCAACGGTTGGCCTATCAATTGCAACGGTTTACCTGCTGTTGCCATAGGCCTATTTTCCGGTAGTGATTTTCTGAAAATACTGGTTCTAATGCTTGCTGGTAAGACAAAAGCAACACGTACGACGACTTCTCCAGATCAAACAACAATTAAGGGAAACAAATAGGAGTTTAACTAATATACACTGGGCAGTGCACAGAAGTTTACTATATCAGGTCACCTAAAAGTGAGTAAATTTTCTACAGCAAGCATGGAGCAGTAACCTGTAAAATATGGTAAATAATCAATTGCAGATGATGTAACAATCTTTTACATAATATTGCTTAAATCCTTACATGACGATCCTCAATGTACAACTTCACTCCAATAGGGGACATTGTTCCAGGACCTCCACTATGACAACAAGCTCCTGTAAAAGACAAACAAGAAAAAAGAATATTAAGTCGGGCTCATTAATTAAAATGCTATGAATTTTATCCAAAGTACAATTTGCATGGCTAACTAGCTAGAATAATTCACAGGCTAAAAAGTGGTGTTGAAAAAGAAAAATTGTTCTTCTTGTATTACCAACGATTTGCAGTTATATATTGTTACGTTGGATCTTTGAGTTGAGATATATAAGTTACATTAAAAGCTATGCCACACATACATAACAATCTCCAATTTCTACTTAGACTTAACTTTTTCTTCTTTTTTTTGAGCAATTACTTAGACTTAACTTTAACTACAGGGAAAGGAATAATTTTAATTTCCTGGCTTTAGCTTTAATAATCCACTTTTGCTATTGCGCCACTATCGTTTGGTGAAATTTGACATAGCTTGGAAGTAAAGACGCATGATAAAGTCAATCAAGTATCATGCATGTTCTATGTGTTATATTTGTATCTTTTTAAATTTATGTATCTGTTTTTTTTTTATACAGTTTATCTTAGATACGCAGCAATAAACTTGAAGTTTGTGACAAAATTTGGGAAGGTCCCAGTCTCCCAGATGTAGATTGCAAAGTTATAAGAACAGTGTGAATTGATATTCTCCCTCGTTCAAATTGAGATGGGAGAAAGTTGAAAAACTCAAAAAGAATTTCATTGGTGTTAATAGGAAAGAAATATGTGGGTCACCATTTAAATAATGAATTCTTAGGAATTGTTTAACTGAGAATATAATGTTAAGGGGTCGTTTGGTACGATGGATAGATAAAAATAGTTATGGGATAAAAATTTGATTTTAGCTTATCTTATATTTGGTTAAAAATTTTGGGGTAAATTATTTTAGAATTATAAATAGTAACCGGAATAACTTATACCTGTCAGAGGGTAGAATAGTAATCCCAGTCATTTCAGGATAAAGTAGTAAATTGACAATCTTAGGATTAATACAACATACCAAACAGTTAATACAGTAAAAAATAGTATCAGAATAATTAATCCCAACATAATTAATATTTGAGTAATTAATCCCAGCATAACTTGTCTAAATCAAATGACCCATAAGATTATTATTTAAACAGACAAATATAATATATATCTATATATAATATAAAGCTAGTGTCACGACCCGGATTTCCCACCATCGGGAGTCGTGATGGCGCCTACTGTCGGAGCTAGGCAAGCCAAATATTCAAAACCTTCCATTGATGACATTTTGACAATATAAATAAACGGAGGCATTTTAATTAAAGCGGAAGACTTTAAACTTATATAACTGAAATAAAATTTGCGGAAGTTGAAACACATTTCTACCCAGAGTCTGGTGTCACTAGCTCACGGACTGCTATAGAGTACAAAAAACAAGTCTGAAATGATATTACATATTGTTTGTCTCGAAACAAAGAAAACAAACTAAAACATGGAAGGGACTTCGGCCTGCGAACGCCAGCTAGGCTACCTCGTGAGTCCCTGGACTGAAGACAGCTCCCGGGCAATCCTACTGCTGCTGTCCAAAAGCTGCTCCTGGATCTGTGCAAAAGATGCACAGAGTGTAGCATCAGCACAACCGACCCCATGTGCTGGTAAGTGCCTGGCCTAACCCCGGCGAAGTAGTGACGAGGCTAGACAGGACCTAACAAAAACAACCTGTGCATATATATATATATACACAAAGGCAACGGAAATAACAACAGAAAACATCAAATAAAACTGGGGAGGGGCATGCTCGGGGGAATACAGTGAAAACAGATCAACGGATATAATAACGAAACTACATCAATACTGTGACTCATATAAGTGGTCGGCGTGCCACACGATCCCATAATATATATTTATAAGTGGTCGGCGCGCCACACGATCCCATAGTATATATTTATAAGTGGTCGGCGTGCCACACGATCCCAATTCATAACTCATAAGTGGACGGCGTGCCACACGATCCCATTTCATAATTCATAAGTGGACGGCGTGCCACACGATCCCATTTCATAATTCATAAGTGGACGGCGTGCCACACGATCCCATTTCATAATTAATAATACATATAATCTTTCTAGAGGAGGCCCCAATAGGGGAATTCAACAACATAACGATTTAACCCGGCAAGGGTACAACTAACAGCCCAAATATCCCGGCAAGGGAGAATACATATAATGCTTAAATCCCGGCAAGGGAGCAACAACAATAATAGACTGCGCGTCCCGGCAAGGGAATAATCACAACACTTCCTCTTTTAATCACTTCTTTCTCAATTATCAATTTCCAGTTCGAGCCAACGCTCCAATAATATACCAATCACATTTCTTCCTCAACCATTCACATTATATGAAACTTATCAATTAAACAAGGAAGATGTATCACAAAAATCCGAGTCAAACACAATTAGGACTCACGGTCATGCTAGACTCCGGTGCATAGATAACCGTCACCATGCCTATACACCGTACTCCACATTTAGAAGATAGCAAATAACATCCTAGTCATATTCCCTCAAGCCAAAGTTAGAACAAACACTTACCTCGGTCCGAGAATAGCAATCAACTCTCTAATACCGCCTTTCCCCTACAATCCGACTCCGAAACAATGGTATCTAGGCATAATTAATTCAATAATATCAATAAAGGCTCAAAAACATAATCCCATAGCCTAGAAATGAATTTCCTAGCATTCTTCCAAAAATACCAAAATTCGACACCGGGCCCACATGGTCCAAACACGAGGCTCGGACCAAAACCCAATCACCCATAACCCCACGAGTTCAAATATGCAATTTGTTTTAAGATTCGACCCCAAATTGAGGTTGAATCACCCAAAATTCTCAAAACCCTAGCTCTACCCAAAACCCTTAATTTCTACTTTGATTTCATGATTTAGGTCTAGGAATTCAGTAATTAATGAAGAGGAGTGAAGGAATTAGGTGGGAAATTACTTACCCAAAGACTTTGGTGAAGAAGAGCTCCAAAAATCGCCCCTAGAGCTTGAAGAAGACAAGTTTTATGAAAGAATGGGAATAATCTCGTAATGGTTCTGTTTTGAACTTTAAAAATCACTGGGCGAAAATGCCCTTCGCGTTCGCAGGAAAGGGGCCGCGTTCGCAAAGGGTAAGCTGGGTAGGCATCGCGATCGTGTGGGAAGGAACGCGAACGCGTAGAAGGCTAGAGGCTGGGGTCCTGGGTTTACTCTACGCGAACGCGTAGGTACATACGCGAACGCGATGAAGGGTGCGCTAATACTATGCGAACGCGAGGACGAGTTCGCGAACGCAGTGAAGGAATTACTGGGGGTCCTGAAATTGGCCTACGCGATCGCGATGATGGGGACGCGAACGCGAAGGAGACCAACCTGAAGCTATGCGAACGCGGGGGAACTAATGCGAACGCGATGAAGAAAATCCCTGTGTAAAAATTGCAGAAAATCTGATATCATCCTTAGTCCAAAACCACCCCGAACACCTCCGAAAACACTCCCGAGCCCTCGGGGCTCCTAACCAAACCCACAGACTAACTCAACAACCTCATACAAACTTAACCGAGCGATCAAATCGCCATAACAACATCAAAATCAATGAATTAAACCCCAAAATCATCATTTTTCATTCTAACTTCATAAACTTCAAATTTTAGATGTCCGAAACACGTCAAACGACGTCCGATTTCGACCAAACTTTACAGAAAGCGCTTAACACATATTTAAGACTTGTTCCGGGTGTCGGAACCAAAATACGAGCCCGATACCACAGTCTTTTAATCAATTTTCATTTCCATTTTCCTTAATAATTTCAGAATAACAATTTCACAGAAAAATTCATTTCTCGGGCTCTCGACCTCGGAATTCGACTCCGGGCATATGCTCGAGTCTCATATTTTTTCTACGGATCCTCCGGGACCGTCAAATCACGGGTCCGGGTCCGTTTACCCAAAATGTTGACCAAAGCCAACTTTAATCATAATAATATCAAAATTCATAAATTTTTACACAGAATTTCATATTTAAGCTTTCCAGCTACGCGCCCGGACTGCACACGCAAATCGAGGCAAGTAAAAATGAGGTTTCCAAGGCCTCCGAAGCACGGAATAAAAGAGAAAACAGGTGATGACACTTTGGGTCGTCACAGCTAGGCATAGACAAGGTAACGTTCGTCCTCGAACGGACAAAAGAAAGAAGTACCTGAGTCGGGAAATAGATGAGGGTAACGGCTCCGCATATCAGACTCGGACTCCCAGGTCGATGCCTCAGGAGGCTGACCTCTCCACTAAAGTAGTGTTTCCTTTGATTCATTTAAAAATTTTGTTTTCTAAATTTAATTTATCTTATTTTTTACTTTAAAGTGTTTATATCATTGCTGCTTTTTTTCTCGTGTTGTGTACGTTTCACGGGCGTTGCAATGGTGACAACAGTGTCACAACATAACCTTTTGGACATAGAACTGTTCAAATGACTATGTGTTAGATTCTTTCCATATTCACTTATGTTCTTGAATTTTATTTGAATCTCATTCTTTAGCTGTTTTTTTTAGTCTTCAATAACTAGAATATATATCTTGAGGTTTCACAATGATGTATTTCAGGTACTTCAAATTAACTACTATAATTTTAGCTTAGAACTGGGTTATTTATCACTTGTATAAGATATTCATATTTTGTTATTGTATGTGGGCAAGTAAGAGATATGTGAATTAGACTTTGGTAAATTTATTGACTTAGCATAGTTTATCTTCATATATATCAAGTACCTTTTTTCCAAGTATAACTTAATATTTTTTAGACTTTAGATTTTTTGACATATAAACGGATAGTATTAATTCACAAGACAAGTTATTAACTTGAGTTAAAATACTGCATTATATTGAATTGTTTGATGAACACAACATTTGGATAGATCGTAACGTTTGTCGTCGTTTTATGATGTCACGCGTTAACAATATGACGAATAAACCTGTAATACTACTAAAAAAATTAGGATACGGAGTAGAATTCTATATTGTATAAATAAATACGAACGATGCAATAGGTAACAACCATCCAAACAAGCGATAAGAGCGCTGTCATGCTTTTATAATTTGATGTGTTAAACTATATATATATAGTGTGTATATATATAAAGTTGGACACAGAAAAGACTACGTGACACTACTAGAATTCCTGCATAAAGCGCCTTGGACACGCACTAAAGGAAAACTTTTCGACCTCAACTGTCGAACCTGTCGATCTAG